GGAGGCGGCCATGAGAGTAATGAGAATACATGGCGGGGTGCGCAGGGAGGCGGTGACGATAAGCTACAGGATCCTCCACCACCTCCCTCTTCCTCCTGGGTGGCTCATCCCCTGGGCACCTTTAGGCAAGGGCGGGGAGGGAAGAAGGAATCGCAGGGGATGGTGGTGGCGAGGGCTCGGTGTTGGAGCCGGCCGGCGGCGCAGACACAAGAAGATAACACAGAGAGAAAACATGATTTGCTTGTATCGCTGTTTGACTGGACGACCCGGAACTCTCGCGAGAACGGCCCAACCGACTCTAACTCATCCTGCCCACTGTTAAACGGCCCCGCGTGCCGCTCGCTAGCCGCGTTTCACCGGGAGCTCTTATTTCCTGGGAGCTTAGTAACTCTAGTGATGTGAAGTTTGCATGCATGCAAGCATGCTAGTAAAATCAAACGTACGTTGGATTCTAAATCGAAAATGCCTCACTCAAATCATGAAAATCGACATCTACTAGTGTCTACGGCGGGTTGGGTGGCCTGGAGTTGGCCACGGAGACCCTGGATCCCCAGTCAAGGAGCTCCTTGGTGGTATCGTCCTTGTGCGCCACTGATATGTCTCCAACGTATCTAGAATTTTTTATTGTTTCATGCTATTATATTATCTGTTTTAATGTTTAATGGGCATTTATATGCTATTTTATATTATTTTTGGGACTAACCTATTAACCGAGGTCCCAGTGCCAGTTTATGTTTTTTTTGCCTATTTTAGAGTTTTGCAAAAAAGGAATACCAAACGGAGTCCAAACGGAATGAAACCTTCGCGATGATTTTTCTTGGACCGAAAGCAAACCAGAAGACTTGGAGATGAAGTCGGAGACGCAACGAGAAAGCCACGAGGCAGGAGAGCGCACCCAGGGGGTAGGGCGCGCTCCCACCCTTGTGGGCCACTCGTGGCTCCCCTGACCTAGTTCCTTCGCCTATATATACTCTTATACGTTGAAAAGATCCAGGAGAGCCAGGAAACCACTTTTCCACCGTCGCAACCTTCTGTACCCGTGAGATCCCATCTAGGGATCTTTTCCGCGTCCTACCGGAGGGGGATTCGGTCAAGGAGGGCTTCTACATCAACACCATTACCTCCCAGATGAAGCGACAGTAGTTTACCACAGACCTTCGGGTCCATAGTTATTAGCTAGATGGCTTCTTTTCTCTCTTTGATTCTCAATACCATGTTCTCCTCAATGTTCTTGGAGATCTATTCGATGTAATACTCTTTTGCGGTGTGTTTGCCGAGATCCCATGAATTGTGGATTTATGATCAAGATTATCTATGAATATTATTTGGTTCTTCTCTGAATTCTTATATGCACGATTTGGTATCTTTGCAAGTCTCTTCGAATTATCGATTTAGTTTGGCCTACTAGATTGATCTTTCTTGCAATGGGAGAAGAGCTTAGCTTTGGTTTCAATCTTGTGGTGTACTTTCCCAGTGACAGTAGGGGCAGTAAGGCACGTATTGTATTGTTGCCATCGAGGATAGCAAGATGGGGTTTTCATCGTATTGCTTGAGTTAATTCCTCTACATCATGTCATCTTTCTTAATGCGTTACTCCGTTCTTTATGAACTTAATACTCTAGATGCATACTGGATATCGGTTGATGTGTGAAGTAATAGTAGTAGATGCAGGCAGGAGTCGGTCTACTTGACACGAACGTGATGCCTATGTTCATAATTATTGCCTTAGATATCGTCATAACTATGCGCTCTTCTATCAATTGCTCGGCAGCAATTTATTCACCTAACGTAATATTTGCTATCTTGAGAGAAGCCACTAGTGAAACATATGGCCCCCAGGTCTCTTTTCCATATTATTGAATCTCGTTTACATCTTGCTAGTTTCCGATTTATTATTTTGCAATCTTTACTTTCCAATCTATAAACCAAAAATACTAAAAATATTTACTTTACCGTTTATCTATCTCTATCAGATCTCACTTTTGCAAGTGACCATGAAGGGATTGAGAACCCCTTTATCGCGTTGGGTGCAAGTTGTTGATTGTTTGTGCAGGTACTCTGTGACTTGTGCGTTGTCTCCTACTGGATTGATACCTTGGTTCTCAAAACTGAGAGAAATACTTACGCTATTTTGTTGCATCACCCTTTCCTCTTCAAGGGGAACCAACGCAAGCTCAAGAGGTAGCAGCCACCACCTCAATGAAGCACACAGGCAGTCCTTCTTCTCCCATGTCGCTGTCTGGATCGCCCCCGTCAGCTCCTCCTTGCACGTGACCCTATATACCTCCCAGTGACATCATGGGTTAGATGCAACAACCTTCCCCAACCCCCGCCGACCGCCGACCTGCCGGTTGGAGATGAGCATATTGTTTTCGTGAGGTCATCTCACATCAAGTAGTAGCCGCAAACCCAACACCCCTCCCTTCACCACCGCCTCCGAGCCCTCCATGAGAAAAAAAAATCGTGGGATGAGCGCATCGTTGTCGCAGATGGTGTGATTGCCGATCGAACCGGGTAGACATCGCTAGATGAGTTAGACAAAGAACTCGCCTGAGGGGATTGCTACTGTGCCAAGCATGACAAGACGATGCCTTTGTCACTCCGATTTTGTATAATCCATAGTCATACGTTCTAAGAATACTATGAATTAAAGTGGGCCCGGTCTTTTTTATTCACATCGTGTATTTGATATTATTTGATTTAGTACAACTATTTGTATGGTTTGTGGATTTATTTGATGCGTGGAGGAGTAATAACAGTAGTGTATGTGCATAAGAAAGTCAAGACCTGGCGGTTTCTCCACGGTTTGAAATGATTCGATTCCGTTAGCTCTTCTTTCTTGATGTGATTTCCTCACACGGGGGCAGAGTGGACGGTGTTGTGAAGCAACCCATTATTTTATGTAAATCATTATTTTATATGATACAATAAAAGCCACATATTTCCTCACGCGGGGCGGAATGGATGGCGTGTCTGAAGCCGTTTCTTCATAGTTTGGTATTACTTCTTTCCGATTTCTTCCACCTTCCGCCCACTCTCCCTTCCCCTCTCGATACCGGCCTCCTCGCGCCTAAACATTGTCCCGTACGTGGGCCTCCAGTCCTCCTCGGCACCATGTGCGTGGGGCCTGTCCTCCCGTACTACTGCTGCCGGATTAGCCTAGCTAGGGCCTCAACCGACCTCGTCTCCTTCCTCTCGGGTCAGAACCGCCGCCGCAATTGCAGCATAGAGCACAAATAGCCTCGTCTTTTTAGTTTCCACGTCCCACTCCCTCCTCGTTCCTTCCTAATTACCATGTACGCCATGCCGTTTCATCGCTTGTGCTCATCAAGCTTAGAACGATCGCAAACCATACCTGATAGAAAATCTCAATGAATCGATTGACGATTCCCGTACGTGTGAATTCCCAAGAGATAGGATTACCGTCAATCACGCACCGAACAACTCTATTCTCCTCTCAAAACATAAATTACCTTCAGAACATAATAAAAACTAAACCAATATAGATAAAATCAAAACAAAAACAACCTGACCGCTATAACCCACGAGTGAAGAACGGCACGGTGAAGCACGAGTTAGCTTCTAGTTTGGATTGAAATTGATTGGTTTCTTGTGTGCAGATTTAAAGACGGTTGATGCAAGCCAATGCTTCTTGCAAGTGTGTAGTTGTAGGTTTTGTTCTAATATATATTTTCTCTGTTTCTTTATCGAAAAGGTGATTGAACCGTACAAAACCCGTATTATGTAGTACTCTCGTATCAAAATATATTGAACTAAAACAGAAGTCTTATATTTGAGATAAAGGACCGGGAAGAGCTGTCTGCAGTAGAAAGAGCACACAAATTAAGAAGAAGAATCGTCCAACTTTATTAACCAATCACTATTATTAATTCAACCTGCTAGAAATAGTATGCGAAGTTTGCATGTATGCACGCATGCTAGTAATCAAAGGTACGTTATTAGACTCTAAATCGAAAAGAAAATGCCCTGCTGAAATCATGAAAATCGACTTCTACTTGTGTCTACTGCGGGTTGGGTGGCCTGGAGTTGGCGGCGGATACCCTGGATCCCCACTCGAGGAGCTCCTTGCTGGTGTCGTCCTTGTGCGCCACCACCTCAATGAAGCACAGGTAGTCCTTCTTGTCCCCGGTCACCGTCTCGATGGCCGCCGTCAGCTCCTCCTCGCACGTCACCTTGGCGGTCCAGCAGTTTCCCTCGCCGTTGTGGATGGCGTCGACGAGCCCCGTGTAGTTCCAGTTCTTGATGACGTTGTATGGCCCGTCGTGGATCTCGACCTCGATGGTGTAGCCGCCGTTGTTGATGAGGAAGATGATGCTGTTGTGGCCGCAGCGGAGCATGGTGGACACGTCCTGCGCCGTCACCTGGAAGCTGCCGTCGCCGATGCAGGCGATGACGCGCTTGTCCGTGGCAGCCTGCGCGTACCCGAGGAGCGCCCCGACCGACCAACCGATGGAGCCGTACTGCATCTGGAACTCGTACCCGCAGCCGTCGGGGAGCTTGAGCTTCTGGCAGTTGAACCACGAGTCGCCGGTCTCGGCAATGACGGCGCTGTCGCCGGTGAGCATCTTCTGGATGTGCTTGAAGAGCACGTTGACGCGCAGCGGTTCACCGGGCTCGCTCTCGGGCGGCTGCCCCTCGGGCACCCAGATCCGCTTGTAGTTCTCATAGGCGGTGGTGTTCTTCTTGAGGCGCTTGCCCAGCTCGGTCAGGAAGTCCTTCATCATGATGCAGCCGAATGCCGGGCCGTTGCCGACGGTGACGCGGTCGGGCTGCACGATCACCGCCTTCTCCTTCTTGAGCAGGAAGGAGTAGCCCACCGAGCTGTAGTCGTTGAAGATGGGGCCGGCGAAGAGGTAGGCATCCGCTGACTCGACGATCTCGGCGCAGAAGGCCGTGCTCACCGCACCCCAGTAGGTGCCGATGAAGCGCGGCAGCGTCTCCGCCACCAGCCCCTTGGCCGACGGCATGCTCGCCACGGCATAGCCGCTCGCGTCCACCAGCTCCGCGAACGCCGCGCCCGCCTTGGCCACCCGCAGCTTGGGCCCAGCCACCATCACCGGCTTCACCGCCTTGTCCAGGAAAGCCACCGTCGCCTCCACCGCCGCCTCAAGTCCCATCTGGTTGCTCATCCTGCATGCATTGAATTGCACATTATATATATGTTCTTGCATCTCGTGATCGATCATGACACGTACCAAGAAAAAGATGAAAAACGTAGGGAGGATGCATGCTTGCAGACCTTGGTGCGAGGAAGTAGGGGGCGGGGTCGCGGCTGAAGGTGGGGTGGGGGACGCTGGGGAGGTTGCAGCTGACGCTGATGTAGACTGGCTTGCTCTCCTTAAGAGCCGTGGAGATAGCCTTGTCGATCTGCTCGTGGGCGTCATCGAGGTTGTTAACGACGGCCTGGTAGCACGTCACCGGCGTGAAGCACCGCAGCTCCTGAGAGAAATCAGGGAGGCCGATGGTATGATGAAGAACCCGGTTGGTGCCGTAGTCGTTGGAGTTGGGCCCGCCGACGATGCAGATCAGGGGGAGGTTCTCGCTGTACGCGCCGGCGATGGCGTTGAGCACGCTGAGCCCGCCAACGGTGAAGGTGACGGCGCACGCGCCGACGCCCTTAGCGCGCGCGTACCCGTCGGCGGCGTAGCCGGCGTTGAGCTCGTTGCAGCAGCCGACGAGGCGCAGCCCGGGCTCGGCTACGAGGTGGTCGAGGAGGGTCAGGTTGAAGTCGCCGGGCACGGCGAACACGTCGCCCACGCCGACCTGCACCAGGCGCCGCGCAAGGTGGCGCCCCAGCGTGGCCTCCGGGGAGCCGACGAAGGTGGGCGACGACGCTGGGAACGTCGCCGGGCACGCCACCGCACCGCTGGGCGCCCCCTTGGGCCCGTCCACGGATCCGATGCCCGTCTCCATGGTAGGTCGGTCGATCGAGGTACGTACGCGAGGAGAGATTGCGAGGCGATCGACAACTGTTTTCTTGGGTGGTTTGACCCGTGCTGGTCGTGACTATTTATATGACGAGAGAATCAAGGACGTATTGCTAGTCGGTACCTAAAACCGACTCCGACTGGGTGCACGAGCTGATGTTACTTTCCTTGTGCAATACGGAGTATACATACTAAGAGCATCTCCAACAGCCGCGCTAAACTAGCGCCGCGCCGCAAATTAGTCTGTTTTAGCGCGCGCGTAACGTGGCGGGTCGCTCCAGCGGGCGCGCAAAAACGGCGCGCGCGCTATAACGAGTGCTCGCTGTCGGAAACACTATCCCGTGCGGTGTATTTCGGGCGCCCGCTACAGCGCGCGGCACACTCGAGTGCTCGCTCTCGCACTTCCTCTCGCACTTCCACCCCCATCCGGCCGCGCCGCCGCCGCCGCCCGCGTCCCACGGCGACCGTTCAGGCGCTTCCCCCGGCCTATCCCCGCGCCGCCGCGCTTCCGCCCCCATCCCCTCTTAGTCCCGCCGGCCATCGCACGCCTCCTTCGTCCAAGGAACAACGCCCGAGCGCTCGCTGCCGCGCCGTGCCCGCAAGGTGTTCGACAAAACGCCTACAAGGTATGTATTGCTCAAACTTCATGAATTTGATGCATGTTTTGAATTGTAGTTTTTATAGTATAGTATTGAATATTGTAGATGAGTTCGTCGCATGATTCTTCCGAAGAAGAATTTGATATGGAAGAGGAGGAGGATCTTGCAATGATCATAGGTATGCATATCAATAAAAAAACAGAAGCACGGTGGTTCGGTTATGGGTCGGGAGAAAATTTGGAGAGATAGGATTGATGCCCATAACAGATTGATGAAGAACTATTTCGTGGAGAATCCCACATACCCGGAGTCGTATTTTCGTCGCCGGTTTAGGATGAGCACCGACTTGTTCAGGCGCATTGCAGAGAAACTAGCGAGCCATGACCGGTTTTTCCAGCAAAGGAGGAATGCCGCCGGAGAGCTCGGGCATAGCACCTTTCTGAAGGTGACAGCCGCTTTGCGTATGTTAGCATACGGTATCCCGGCTGATCTAGTTGATGATCACTTGGCTATGGTTGAGAGTCAAGCCATCATGTGTGTCAAGCGCTTTGCAGTGGGAATTGTGCAAGTGTTTGGTGAGGAGTATTTGAGATCTCCCACTGCTGAAGACGCCGCAAGGCTATTGGCGATGAACAAAGAGCGCGGCTTTCCTGGCATGCTTGGCTCAATAGATTGCATGCATTGGAGTTGGAAGAATTGTCCAAAGGCATGGCATGGGCAGTTCCACAGACAAAAAAAGGGTTCCACTATAATCCTTGAAGCGGTGGCCGACCAGGAGACTTGGATTTGGCATGCATTCTTTGGAATGCCTGGATCTTTGAATGACATTAATGTTGTCAACCGGTCACCACTGATGAATAAGATTGCAAACGGTGAGTTGCCACCGGTGCAGTTTGTAGCAAATGGCCGTACGTACAACTATGGCTATTATCTAGCGGATGGCATCTATCCAAAGTGGCAAACCTTCATGAAGTCGTTGAAAAAGCCGGAAGGTAAGAAAAATCTTGATTTCCACAATGCTCAGGCGGCGGCTAGAAAAGATGTGGAGAGAGCATTCAGGATTTTGCAAGCCCAATTTGTTATTGTGAGAGGACCGGCTAGATTTTGGGATCAAAAAATGCTTTGGTACATCATGCACGCTTGTATGATCATGCACAACATGATCATCGAGAATGAGCGTGGCCAAGATTTAGACTACTCACAGTATGAGCTCTTGGGACATCCCGTGCGAGTGTGACGGAGGGCTGAAAGGGTAGCCCGTTTTATTGCCTCCTATCATGCCATTCGGCGTCCCGTAACGCACAATGAACTTCGGAATGATTTGATTGAAGAGTGGTAGGTCGGTTGATCGAGGTACGTACGCGAGGAGAGATTGCGAGGCGATCGACAACTGTTTTCTTGGGTGGTTTGACCCGTGCTGGTAGTGACTATTTATATGACGAGAGAATCAAGGACGTATTGCTATTCGGTACCTGAAACCGACTCCGACTGGGTGCACGAGCTGATGTTACTTTCCTTGTGCAATACGGAGTATACATACTAATACATAGTACAGTACTTAAAGCCAACGTGTACGCGTCCATCCCGCGAAGGTTATACTAGTAATAGAAAAAAAAAAGGGAAACGTTAAACAACGGCGCGCCGGCCGAAAACTGCGCCGGTCGTTCGCTTGCCGTGCGATAGCCCAAAATCCAGCGGACCGAGTTTGTCCCGCACAGGTTTGACTAGTCACCCCACGTAACCCACGTGTGCCTGGCCCACCACCTCCCCTTCCTTTTTTCTCAGTGGCTGTCTTCTTCCTCCCACCCCTTCCTTTTCTTTTCTCAGCACGAGCACAGGAGGCGACCACCACGCTACCGCACACACCCCGTCTCCACGCCATGACGAGATGCTGCAACTGGTACGTAGCGGAGCTGGAACCGCACCCTGCAGAGCTGCAACCGTGTGCCAAAAAATTTGGGAGCCATTGACGCACTAGACGCCCTTTTGCTGCAACCATCGGTTTCTGGAGCTTCAACCAGTGTATGGCAGAGCTGGAACCGTGTCCGGCAGACCTGCAACCTTGGGAAGAAGAAGCTGGATCCCGCCGAAGCACAAGTCTTTTTTTTGTTGCAACCGTCCACGTTTTTGCTGGAAGCGACCATGCGATTTGCTCGGACCGTTCATGGCGACTTTTCTTTTTGCACGGCGGCGATGAATGCTACAACCATGGGTCGATGAAGCTTGCAACCTATGCCAACAAATGCTACAATCGCTTTGATAGAAGCTGCAACCAGAACGACGACCGACGGCAATGATGCTACAACAGCTGGATCGCGAGCTACAACCACGTCATTTTTTGCTGCAACCGGCAACCACGGAAGCTACATCCGGTTAACATTTTTGGTACAATGGCGACCGCGGGCGATAACTGTGAGCTTTTTTTGCTGGAACCTATATACTTTTTTGCTACAACCGACCAACTTTTTTGCTACTGTCGGCATCCCGATGGAGAGTACATTTTTTGTGAGGTCATCGCCGGAGTTGCTCCGACCGGCGACCGGCGCCACCGAAAAGCTTGCGCCCGCTGCACCCCGAGCTGTGACGCGCTGCCACGAGGAGCTGCAACCATGGGAGGCACGCCGCTGCATGAGGGAGAGCTGTCTAGAAACACATGAGACGCCGGCGGCGAGGGCGGTGACCGGCGGCGAGGGGCGGTGACCGGCGGTGAGGGTGGTAGACGCCTCAGGCGTTGCTTCGACAGCGGGGCATGTCGTTCGTCATGGCAGGGGCGGCGATGGGGATTTGTTTTTCTGTTGGAGAAGAAGACGCAGGCGTTGGAGGAGTGGGATCGTGCGGCCCAAAAGGATTCGATCGTACGACTGGGGCCAGACCGGCCGAAGCTTTCGGCCGGTGCGCCGGCGCGTATTACCCGCCAAAAAAAAGGAAAACTTAAGGATCCTACTGGAGGACATAGCAATGCACTCCGTCCGGCGTGGGGAAACCCGAGAGGACTCCAATTCCGATTGGTGGGTACCAATATGTTTGTGGCAGAATTTGAGAACCAGAGAGACAGAGATAGGGTTTGGGCAGGAGCACTGTGGCACTTACAAAAACGTAGTGATCTTGGCGGAATATGAACGTTGCATGAGACCAGATGAGGTGAAGTTTAACTGGCTCCCAGTGTGGGCTAGGGTTATGAATTTGCCCTACAACTTGAGGGGTGATGCATGGGCTATTCCGATTTCAAAACAAATCGATGAGCTACAAACGGCCAGTTTTGATCATATGGGAGGCTACCTCCGAGCTAGGGTTACGGTTGATGTGGACAAGCCATTGCGGAGGTGGATCTTGATTGATGATTCAGCAAGGAGGAAGACGGTGAATCCATATGACATCTAGTACGAGCAAATTCCATACTTTTGTTTCTCGTGTGGGCGTCTAGGGAACTCAGAGTTATACTGCCCAACTCCGGGAACTCGTAATGCTAAAGGTGAACTGCCCTTCGGCTCATCACTGCGGGCTCCAGAGGAGTACAGGAAGTCGGCGACTAGTGAGAATTCGTCACGCGATCAATACTCTGAGTCTAGTAACAAGCAGGGGGCGAAGAACTCCAGCTCGAAGCAGGACGGCGGGGATGAAGTTACTTCGCCGGTCAAAGACAAGAACAAGGGATCACAGAACAAGTGTAAGGACGCTCCAACTCAAGTCTATAAGTCAAAAAACTTACTTATGCTCACTGCTTCAGAGCTTGAAGGGAAAGAGAAGGACACGGAGGGGACTAAGGAAGATGACTCTAAATTTGTGCGAGATCCTAAAAAGAAGAAGCCTACACCTGGTAATTCGGCAGAGACCATGCCGTGGTCCTGCCCCTCGCAATGTGTTGTATTAGCTGGAATTGCCGAGGGCTTGGAAACCCCGAGGCAGTTCGAGAGCTTCACAACATAATGAAGCTAGAAGGCCCCTCTCTTGTCTTTGTTATGGAAACGAATATTAGAGGTAATAGAGTGGAGGATCTGCAGCATACTCTAGGTTTTGGAGGCTGTTTTGCAGTAGATAGTGTTGGTTTAAGTGGTGGGATTGGCCCTTTTTGGTCTAAAGATGTTAACGTTGAACTCAAGAATTATAGCACCTATTATATTGATGTCCTGATGCAGAATAAATATATGAACATGCTGGTATGGAGGTTTACTGGTTTTGTCGAGCACCGTGAGCTATAGAACGACATCACAGTCGTTGGCGGTTCCTACGCATGTTGCATGCTCTGCCGCATTCGGCATGGCTATATATGGGAGACTTTTATGAAACGCTCTTTGCGTGTGAGCACTTCAGCAGAACACCACGGCCAGAGTCACAAATGAGAGCGTTTCGAGAAGTTACCAATGGTCTTTCCTTCCAAGACTTGGGT